CAGGGGTTCACCCCGCCGGCCGCCAGCCCCGGCACCGCTCGGCCACGACGCGAATTCCTCCCAGCGGGACAATAAGGAAGAGTGTCCTCGGGGCTGGGAGCCAGCCCTGAGCAGCCAGCTCTGCGGCTACGTGAAAATGCCGCCGTTTAGGAGAGCTTTAGGACAGGCAAATTGCAGACCGCAGAACGACAGACAGATAGAAAAGCATCGGAACGATCCGTCCTCTCTCAGGAATCGGATCATCAGAGATTTGCATCAAATGGCTGCTTCTTTCTAGAGCAGACCCTGAGCCCAGCCCCTCGGTGCCAGCTAGCTGGCATCCCTTCCCGAGGGGCACACAGGCGTGTGTCCCGCTTTGGCCCCGTACGCACAGCAGAAGCCCTCGCTGGCAGGGACCTGCCTGTTTTCGCAGCCGCGTGCGCTGCTGCTCGGTTAATGAACAGCGAGCGAGGCGCTGCGCGAGGGCGCGTTCGGTTATTTATTCAAGGCACGACAGCAAGCAGGTGCAATAAATCCCTACACCCTTTTCCCCTAAACACATGGCAGCTCCTACGCTCTTCTTCGTCCTGCACACAGCAGTGTTTGGCGTCTGCATCGGTGATAAACGTGCACAGGGGAGAAACTGGGTAAGCTGCCAGACGTACAAAATCTAACGACGAGCGCATCCGCGCTCACAGCTGAACTTTTCAAGGAACTATTGCTCAGGACATGGACGCCTGGCTTTCCGTCCTGCTGTGGCAAGAGTTCAGGTCCTTCATGGGGAAAAATAGAAGTTATTCTTTTTGTGTAGGTTCTCAGAGCAGCTGTAGTCTCTGTTCCTCAGATACTTTGCTAACCCACCCTTTTCTGCTAATATCAGGAAGGGGCAGTCGCTGCATTTCTCAGCCTCGCTGATCCGCACGTGTTCCCAAAGTGAACCAAATTCAGCTCCACTTTTTTCTACTTACTGATATTTTGGTGAAGATATAGATGAACAAGTAGAGAATCGCCAGGAACATCTGAATTCTTTTGCCTCCGAAACGTCTCCGCAGGTACTCGGGCATGGTGGTGACCTGCGCGAGAGAGGCCCCGTCAGGGACGGTGGTCGCTCCCGTGGGTGGCAAATTGCTCGCCCACGGGGCTGGTGTGGGTGGTTTGCACTGGTGGGAGACCAGGACAGCCCTGCCACTGCCACTGTGCTGCTGTTTGGTTCTCAGTTGCCCACTTAGGCCAGCACAACAGCTTAGCACTGCCTTTGCTGTAAAGTCTGGCACAAGGCTCGCTGTAAACTGCGATACGAGAGCTTCCATCCGCCTCTTTGGGAGATGGAGCAACTCTGCTGCGTTGCCAGGGGTAGGGGACCGCTCTGGCCCCCACACCTCAGCCCCCGCTGCTGTTCCCAGCAGCAGCTCTCGTCCCGTTAGCCCAGGCCCCCAGAGCAGCTGGCTCCACTGCAGCTCATGCCCTGCCTTCCCGAAGAAGCACGGGTGCAGCAGGAGATGCTCAAGCCCTTGAGCCAAGGAGGGGGTTTAAATTCCAGCAGATCGCTGATGGATGCAGCATCCCATCTACTTACTCCTGCTGCTATGTAAATTGGAAGGAACAGCCAGGCCAGCACCAAAACACAAAACATCCCCTGCAAAGCAAGCGGAAAGGAAGGTCAGCGATGCCGGTCAGGGCTGCAGCCGGGTGGGCTGGTGGGACACGGGGACTGGGTTATCCCTCAGAGGCCGCGAGCCCCCAGCAGCCGGTGGTGACTTCTGGCTGCTGCAG